AGACAGCCAGCAATTTAAGGAGAACATGCGGCTAAATATGTCACTCCTGGTCTGATTGGGGAGAGGACCAGAGAAAACTACAATATTGGTTCAATATTGGTTTTAGTGACCTCTGATTGGCGTAACCGGGTGTCATTACTGCCGACGTGAATTATAATTTTACTGAATTTACGTTTACCCTTAGCCAGCAGTTTTAAATTTCCTCCAATGTCTCCTGCTCTGGCACCTGGAAGAAAATTGACTATGGTTGCCAGTGTCTCTAGCTTCACGCCTCAGAACAGAATCACCAATTACCAGAGTTTGACCACCGGTGGGTGTGTCGCCGAGTGGGGAAAAGCAGGTAGACACATGAACAGCTTGGTGGTGTTCAGTGATCCTGGTCTCCAGACCTGCAAATTGGCTACATTTGTTACAAGTATCATTACTGCCAAGCAGTAACTAAACATCTGACACAATGAGCAGGAAAGTGCAGGAGGAACAGGTGAAGAGGCCATGCTGCTAGCGACTCGGCTACAAGCTAAGCAAGTGAAACCCTAAAGACACAGCGAGTGAATACTTGGACTCTAAATTGCTGTGTGACAATAAAAGTGATTTGATTTGATTTGATTTGATTTGATTTGCTTCGAATGAAGCATGTTAAGATTACACTATGAAATAAGAATTCTTTGATTAAATTGCTACGCAGATAAACTACACAAAAACACCACTGTGTGTTTGAACACGACACAATACTCTACTGCAGAGAGCGCGAACACCAAGTGACAGCGCCACCCAAAGGATCTCACAAGGTTCATCCCTGTCGCGGAACACTAGAGCAGCTCTTTACCCTGTCTCGTTACCATTGGGTGTTGGACAGCCAGTGTTGCCTTTTGTCACCAATTCTGTTCATAATTTTTATTCACAGAATTTCTAGGCTTAGCGAAGTGGCAGAAGGCTTCCACTTGGGCAGACTCAAAATTTAATCTCTGTTTTTTGAGGATGGTTCTGTTGGCTTCATCAGGTGGTGGCCTCCAGCTCACACTGGAGTGGTTCGCAGCCAAGTGTTAAGCAGCGGGTTAGGTTGCTGCCCCCTGCGAAAATGGATGGATGTTGTTGTTAATTGACAAGATGTAAGACCATTAAGGAGCCCAATGTTCACTCTATATTTCTCTGGGCTACCCCTTCAAACTCATTCAACATCCCAAATGCAAACAGAGATCACACTTACATCGTCTACAATTTAATGGCGACAACTTCAACACAAAGGTTATTCTGACTGACAAACATAAGTGCAGATTTACCAGTGGCTTTAGCTTATTAAATTATGCAGTCTTGCACAAAGTATTAACAATTTTCTGTTTTGATGTTACTTTTCTCAGATCAGTACTAACGGTTCAAAGAAGAAAATGTACACTGACTCCATGTCAGTGGGTCAGAGCATCTCTACCAAGGCTGTTGACTCCTGGAAAAGGGTTGATATCACTGACAGCTACAAGCACAGGGAAGGTAAAACAAACATACAATGCTCATTTGCATTGCTCGTGTCAACTGGACATCAATAGCTTTATTATTTGGATAACTGGTAACATTCTAGTAGAACTGCTAAAGGCAGTTTCAGTTCAAATGATCCCAGACAACACAAACAAGTTTATTATGTTTCCTAGCTCAGTTTGCTTACGATCTTGAGTTTATCAGTATTTCTAGTTTAGGTTTTCTTGGTTTTTAATTGGTCCTGTTCATGTTTTTGTCTTGTTTCTATGGCATATATATGCCATTTTGTCTAGTATCTCTCTGTCCTTCCCTCAGCGTTTCCCCAGTTAGGTCAGTCTCTTCTTCTGTGGCATGTCTCTGTGTGGCACTCTGTCTCTTGTCCCTGGCTCTCTGCCCCTCTCTCTCCTCCCTCTGTTCCCTGGGTTTCATCTGTCTGCATCTCAGTGTGTGTGTTTCTCCTACTTCCTGTTTCAGTTTGTCACTCTCTTATCATGTGTGTTCAATGTTCAGCTGTGCTTTACCTGTCTCATTAGTGGATTGTGTTCAGTCGTGTTCCCCATGTGTCTTCTCTCTGTCCCGAATCCCTCCATCCCCCCGTCGGTGATCTCCCTCATTCTTCAGCTGTGTGTTCTGCCTGCTTGTCTAGTTTCCAGTAACTCCCAGTTCAGTTTTGTACATTCTATAGTTAATCAATAACGTTGTTTTTTGAGTTTAGTTTTGCCTCCAATCATGCCCGCTTCACACAGCACATGCCATATTTCCCTACAGGCAGCGCAGAGGAGAGAGCCATCTTCAAACGTGCAGTCAGATTGAACTCAAAAGAAGGTCAAGGTGACATAGAAGAGGCACCCCAGTATGTTGAGATGAAAATCAAAGAGGTAAAACTCAAAATACAAGACTGGGAAAACTTTGTATCATTACAACATGATATAAATACAAGAATGTGTGTTTGGTCAAAATTCATAATGCACGACAAGTAAAAAAAACAAAACAGTTGAAACAGTGTGAAATGGGATGGGGCCTTTAAGGAAATTATCTGAGAATTATCTAAGAATAGCAACTAGAAGCCTGGAAACCTGCAGACTCATCACCATCCTGAATGAGGCCAATGACGGTGGTGTCATCTGCAAATTTTAGCAGTTTAACAGCCGAGTTCTTGGAGGCGCAGTCATTGGTGTACAGCAGGAGCAACAGTGGTGAGAGGACCGAGTTTCAGAGGTGATCTC